TGCAGGGGGCTGCAAGCTGTCAGAGTGGCTCTGTGGGAGAAGTCTGATTCCTGTTTCTGCCTCTTTGCTGTCCCTCAAGCTCTCAGCCTCCAGTACTTTCCAGCTCGTTCCCTCATCTGGGGTGTGGCAGGTTTCCCACCACCAGGATCCAGGATCCAAATCCTCTCTAAAGAAGGAGGAAAATGGAAACTGAAACCAGATGAACAAGTTAAAGATCATGTATATGATTGGTTGCATTACTTTCAAGTAAATGAAATGTTTAAAAAAGATCTAAAAGAAAGTGGTTGTGCAGAAAAAGATTCTAAATTTCAAATAGATATAATAAACAATGAATGTAAAACTTTGTCAAAAATGTATAAATGTATATTGTTGGAATGGCATACGAAAGATGAAGAGGTTAAATCTGTAATGATACAATGGGCCAAAGATTTTGGGTATAATATACAATTTGATGAGTGGAAAAAACTGTGGAAAGAGAATGTAAAATTTACTGCATGTACGGCACTGAAAGAAAATGTTATGAAAATGTTTTATAGATGGTACATTACACCTGTAAAGTTTGCAAAGATGTATAAGATGTGTAACAAATGTTGGAAATGTAAAGAAAAAGAAGGAACATTCTTTCATGTGTGGTGGGAATGTAAGAAAGTGAAAAGCTTTTGGGAAATGATTTATAATGAAATGAAAAAGATGTTCAGATATATTTTTGTAAAAAACCTGGAGGCTTTCCTTTTAGGGATTACAGGAAAGGAAATAAGAAGAAAAGACTGTAAACTCTTCCAATATGCAGTTACGGCAGCCAGAATACTGTTGGCCCAGAAATGGGAACAAGAGGAAATACCGACGATAGAAGAATGGAGAATGAAACTGACAGATTACGCGGAATTGGACAAACTAACTGGGAAAATTAGATACACCAAAGACCAAAAGTTCATCGAAGACTGGGGAAAGTTCGTAGATTATCTGAAAAATGTATGTGATGTGAATACAACGCTAGTGGGATTTCAAGAGGCACTGTAAAAACAGAGATGTATTGTTAATATGAAATAGATGGAGAAGGGAAGTTTAATGGCAATACGAATGAAGGGAATGTGTATTAAAGACATAAATATGGATGATTCCCAGAGACGTTGAAGGAAGTTCAAAAAGAGATAATTTGTTGAAATTTGGATAAAAATGTATAATTGTATGGAAAACTAATAAAAATTTATTTTAAAAAGGAAGAAAAAAAGGATCCAAATCCTCTCGCTCCATGCTTTCACCGGTGGTGGGGGCTTGGTCAGGGAGATTCCACCACTCCTCCTCATCCAGCCAGTCCTTGACACTCGATCAACATCAGGACTACAGCAGGATCAAGTGGTCAAGCCCAATTTTCTCTGCTAGAGTTCCAGTCTGGATTGGAAACCCTGGATCTAAAATGATGACAACGACAGCAACAATGATAATAATAATAATTAATAATAATGTATTTATTTATTTATACCCCATCCATTTGGCCAGGCTCCCCCCCCCCAGCCACTTTGGGCGGCTCCCAACAGAATATTAAAAACATGATAAAACATCAGACATTAAAAACTTCCCTAAACAGGGTTGCCTTCAGATGTCTACTAAAAGTCAGGCAGTTGTTTATTTCCTTGACATCTGAAGGGAGGGCATTCCACAGGGCAGGCACCGCTACCGAGAAGGCCCTCTGCCTGGTTCCCTGTAAGCTCACTTCTCGCAGTGAGGGAACCGCCAGAAGGCCCTCAGAGTTGGACCTCAGTGTCCAGGCTGAACGATGGAGGTGGAGACGCTCCTTCAGTTATAGTGGGCTGAGGCCATTTAGGGCTTTAAAGATGTGTCTCATCAAAGGTGACTCTAAGAAAGTATTTTATGACAACTGGCACATCGCTTCACATCCATTGTTCCAGAGTCCCTTTATAATTCCTTACGCTAATAATATGAGCACATGCTGCACAGAGCTTTCCAGATGTTTCATGTTGTTAACACACTTTTTAGACATGCATCATTTCATGAAACATTAATTCAGTTTTACTAGCAAACCGGAGGTTAAACTAACCCCTTTCCAACCCCGTGAGAAGCAAGGGAAGTGTTCGTGCGACAAACCTACACACTGCAGCCGACACACTAATGTGTTGCAACACACAGTTTGGAAAGCTCTGCTGTGGAGCGTAGTCATACCAAATACCTCACATCAGACTGGTCCAATGTGTGGCCCTCAAGGCCTTTTTGGTGGCCCTCAGCTACATCTGACATCCACCCATCCCTCATGCTGCTTTCCCAGAGCTGGGTAAGTGGAGTGTAGAGCTTTGGGAAGGAGGTGTGAAGGCTCTGACAAAGTCCTAGAGTTCTCCTGCTTCCTCCCAAAGCCTAGCTAGTGCTTTTCCAACTTTGGGAAGGAGCTGGGAGGGCTCTAGGACCCTGCCAGAGCCTCACACCTTCTTCCCAAAGCTTGGTGCCTTGCTTGGGAAGGTAGCTTGAGGGCTGGGTGTGTGTGTGTGGAGTCCAATTTTGGCCTTGCTCACCGCCCTCCCCCTGCTGTATGACAAGACAGTGTGTGGCCCATGGGTTGTACACTTGGTATGAAAACCTGGGGAGCTCTGCCTCACTCTTTCCTCCTCTCTCCCAATCAATTTTCCTTTTGTGTCGTGTCTCTATGAATTGTAAGCCTAAAGGCAGGGGCTGTCATTCTGAGTGAGCTGTAAGCTACTCTGGATGGTCCCTTCTGAGTGATGAGTCAGATTTTTAAAAGGTAATTAAATAAACCTTTTTAGCATCTATGATACAGACATCTAACAGGATTTATTTGTATTAGTTATAGGCTTCCCTACAGCAAGAAGTTCTTTGGGTGTCTCACAGTATAAAAATCTAACAAACAAAACAAGGCAATAAAATAAAATGCAACATTAAAAACACTGTACAAAATAATAATAAAAACCAGGTCAAACAAATTGGAGATGAACAAATAAAGATCAATAGAGCTGAAACAGTGCTAAAAGCTACAGCATGATTTGAAAGGTTTAGGAAATTGAGAAGATATTTTCCAGGCACACAAAAAAAGACATATAAAAGTAGTTGCCAGGTGATCCTCACCCATTGAACTTCATTCAGTAGCAGCATCCCGAATTGGATCCCGAATGCCTTGTGTGTCGAACATATTGACTCCCGAATGCCGCAAACCCGGAAGTGAGTTGAAATATTCAGTGATTGAATTGCCTCCCAAACCTCAGGCTTTTATATACATTATTTACACAATGAGTCCCATCTGATTGGCTAATTCTGCTTCCCTCCTGGAGCCTGATTGGTCTTCTCCTGCAAACCAATCAGTTGTTGCATTCTAGGATCCTATCTGCCTATTGTTCTAGGATCCAAGCTTAGTACATAACAGACTGTTCTGGTTTGCGAACGTTCTTTGGAACCCGAACATCTGACACGACTTCCATGGCTTTTGGTTGGCTGCAGGAGCTTTCTGCAGCCAATCAGAAGCTGTGCCTTGGTTTCCGAATGTTTTGGAAGTTGAACGGACTTCTGGAACGGATTCTGTTTGACTTCTAAGGTACCACTGTATAATGCTTCCATAAAAACCAAGTGTGATTACTCTAGAGGAGCTCTCAGCCCGCACATTTGCCCCTTCCTTCCCCAACCATGAATCTCTTTCAAAGCAATATTCTTTGTGCTTTCCCCCAGACTCTCTTATTCCCGAGGAGATCGCCAAAGAGATACCCGCTAACAAATAGTTCCCGTATAAATCTGGCAGCCGGAGCTGCTGATTTCACTGAAAACTGTGTGGACAAATGTTCAAAGAAAATGTGTGCAGATGGGAAAGGGAAGTGATTTCTAATTCTGCAAATGTTTATCGACTAATTTCCCTGCTGTTTGTCGCAGCCAAGTCTCAAGCTGTTGACAAGCGCCGTGACAATTCTGTCTTTTATGGTTCCCTTTGGTTTTCTTTTTATTTAAAAAAGGGTTTCTATTAGGTTAAACTTTTGAAGGGTCCCCTGACAAGAGAAACTTGATGCATGGTTTCATCTAATGATTATGTAATTCAGAAGACCGTTTGTTATTTGCAACAGAAGAGAAAGTGCAAGTATGTGTGTGTTGTTTGTGCACAATGTTCATGGCAACATGAGCACAACCCCCTCTCTTCATCACTGCCAGCTTCTCTGCAGAATGGCTTTTAATTAGAATTCATTTACTAAGTAGTGGCCCATAAAGGGTTTGTTTCTAACCTAAGAAACAATTAAACCAGACCTTTACCTCTCCGAAATATGTTACTCATTTTCCCCCTGTCAAGATACTTAAGCCAGATGGTCCACATTTATTTCACCAGCTTCACCTTTTCCCTGCACAGATGTCCTACTTGTGCAAGTAAGTTGTCACTTTGGAGTTTGCTTTTTTTTTGTTTCAGCTGCACTTTCTGCAGAATTTATATAAAGCCAAGCTATTTCATAATAAAGGGCTAGCCTTTGTCTTCCTGCAGCAGACTAACATGACTATTCATCTGGAATTTGTATAGCATTGTGAATTATAGTAATAATACTACTAGTATTTTTTACACCATTTCTATACCACGTGCTCTCTCTTTCTCTCTCTCCATCTCTCTCTCTCTCACACACACACCTCTCTCTCTCTCTGTCTCTATCTATCTATCATCTATCTATCATCTATCTATCTATCTATCTATCCATCTATCTATCATCTATCTATCTATCTATCCTCTATCTATATCTATCTATCATCTATCTATCTATCATCTATCTATCTATCTATCTATCTATCTATCTATCTATCTATCATCTATCTATCTATCTATCTATCTATCCTCTATCTATATCTATCTATCATCTATCTATCTATCTATCTATCTATCATCTATCTATCATCTATCACCTCTCTACCTCTAAGTAGTGTACAGTAAACTAAAGAAACAACAACCTAGAGAACAACCAGTATTACAGAAATACAGTTAACATAATACAAAGTTACATTAATACACTCACAGTTCTTTCTCCAGCTTCTGCCCCCTTCTCCTCCAGTCATTTTCCACTTATAGTTTCGATCTTCATGGTCTGGTGAAGAAGGAATAATAGAACCATAAAATTGTAGAGTTGGGAGGGACCCCAAGGGCATCTAGGCCCCCTGCCTGCTGTGCAGGAATCTCCGCTAAAGCATCCATGACAGGTGGCCATCCAAGCTCTGCTTAAAAACCTCCAAGGAAGGAGAGTCCACCACCTCCTGAGGGAGTCCCTTCCGCTGTCAAACAGCTCTTACTATCAGAAAGTTTTTCCTGATGTTTAGCTGGAATCTCCTTTTTTGTAACTTGAAGCTTGGAACTTGGAGATTGCAAGGTCTCCATCTAATGGCAGCCTGCGGCTTGTGGAGGGCAAACTAGCACCAACACCTTCCTTGGGGATTTGCAATGGCTGCCCATCTACTAGCAGGCCAAGATTAAGGTGTTGGTAACATGTAAGGTCCTATATAGCTTGGGACCAGGGTCCTTGAAGGAAGAAGAGAGGAGGAGGAGGAGGAGGAGGAGGAGGAGGAGGAGTAGTTTGGATTTGATACCCCGCCTTTCACTCCCTTTAAGGAGTCTCAAAGCGGCTAACATTCTCCTTTCCCTTCCTCCCCCACAACAAACACTCTGTGAGGTGAGTGGGGCTGAGAGACTTCAAAGAAGTGTGACTGGCCCAAGGTCACCCAGCAGCTGCATGTGGAGGAGCGGAGACGCGAACCCGGTTCCCCAGATTACGAGACTACCGCTCTTAACCACTACACCACACTGGCTCTTCTTGTTCTTGCTCTTCTTGTTCCATGGTAGATCACTGTGGTCTGTTGCAGAGCTACTTCTGTAAGTTCCAAAGATATCACAACTCTGCTCCACAGACCCTGATGCAGGCACAGGCAGATTTAGGGAAGTGTGACCAGTTGCACTGGGTACAGAGCCTTGGGGCAACATGGGGGGCTCTGTAACTATTATGTTGAATGGAAGGTGAGAGGCTGGGGGGGGGGCAAATTTTGGAGTTGCACAGGGAGCCAATAAAATTTGATACCCTGAGATCCGCCACTGGCGTAGGGATTTCGGCGGGGCTATTTTGTGGAATAGCATTCCTGTTATTACTAGAAAATGATATATAATGAATGAAAAAGGATGTTCAAAATAACTTTTGTAAAAAACCCAGAAGCTTTCCTTTGGGGAATTATAGGGACCTAAACTGTATAGAAATTCTGCTGCAAGTGTAGATCCGCTTGAAGATGACAGAACAATGGCTCTTGTTTATGTATCATTCTCCACTTTGTTTATTATTTTTGCAATTCAGAAAAAGGTATATGGTATGATTGGTGGAGTTGTTGTTTTCTAAATGTTTCTTGATGTCGCATATCAAACACATTAGGCTTTATTAATGTTAAAGCAAGAAGCATTTTCCTCCATGACTATGAAGTGCATATTGATCTGTCAACAAAATAAAGTTTAAGTTCAATTTGTCAATGTTCCTAGCAGATTTAAAATGAAATCACAGTATCAACCATATAGCTTGATTTGCTGCATTGCAGAAGCCTTAAAAAAAAAAATCCTATAAAGCTTAAGAGCTTGTATATCTTTAGGATTTCTAAGGACATCTACAGCGTTTGACAGACAGCTATCCTCCCACACTATCTAGACATAGTTGGAAATGAAGGATTGGCCCTCTTTGTGCAGCTGAACGCAGTGCTGAATATACATTTGGTTTTGGGAAGGGAAGGGAAAATAAAATGCGGAGGAGGGTTATTCTACTGCTATCATGCTCAGAAGGTCTGCTCATAAATAAATATGCCATTATGAGATGCATAATTTTTGTTTATTTTTTATTATTTAGATGTGCCTTCTGACCTTCAATTGCATTATCAGAGCGGACTAAAATAATTTGTTGCAAATGCCACAAAATAATACAGTCGTACCTTGGTTGATGAACGCCTTGTGAGTCAAACGTTTTGGCTCCTGAACACAGCAAACCCGGAAGTGAGTGTTCCGGTTTGCGAACGTTCTTTGGAACCCGGACGTCCGACGTGGCTTCTGCACTTCCAATTGAGTGCAGGAAGCTCCTGCAGCCTGTAGGAAGCCACACCTTGGTTTCCAAGTGTTTTGAAAGTCGAATGGACTTCTGGATGGATTCCATTCGACTTCTGAGGTACCACTGTACAGTCCTAAAGTTAGGGTGTGGGAAAACTGAAGGGAAGGGGTAGATGTGCCTCATCCAACGACTGCCCAGGGCAGAAGTCGGGCCACTGCAGTGTTCTTACATGTCTCCATCCTATTCAATGCTCTTTGCTTTATTAATTTCTTTCCCATGGATGGCTGGTGAGACTCAGCCTACAGTGATTTTCACAGTAGCGCAGAGGGAACCTGTGAGATAATGTAGAGAAGGAGATTTCTTCCTATCCTATTTCTTTCTAGTATCAGGCAGAGTGGGAACCAGGACTGGCCATAATGCTCATTTGTATGTTATTTTGTTAAATAATTGAGAAATCCATTTGTTGATGTGTTTAATCTTTTTACTGGTAACTGTTTTTAATGATTCTGTTAATATTTATTGTAACATCTTTGAGGTTTTATCACAATCAAGTCGTACCTTGGTTCTCAAATGCCTTGGTTCTCCAACGCCAAAAACCCAAAAGTAAGTTTAACGGTTTTTCGAACGTTTTTCGGAAGCTGAATGTCCGATGCGGCTGTCAGCTGTTGTTTCCAAGGCACCTGCACAAATCAGAAGTCATGGTTTTCGAACATTTTGGACGTCAAACAGACTTCCGGAACAGATTAAATTTGGTGCTTTTGTTTTTGCTATTTATTTTGCATTTTTGTTTTTGAGGCTTTTGGGGTTAAATTGCTTTTGTGACTGCGTGGAACCGAGTTCAGCTACTGACTGATAGATTGTGTGACTACAGAAATGGATAAAAGCCCCCCATCCAGACAATGACTATCATCAGTGCAGGTAAGAAAAAAAAAGTAATTTTGATTTTTACCATCTACAATACTATCTTATTTATTTTATAGTACAGTACATTGATTATTGCTTTCATTTTATGGATCAATGGTCTCGTTAGATAGTAAAAATCATGTTAAGTTGCTATTTTAGGGGTTGTTTTAAACCCATTTTGCATTACTATCTATGGGAAAGCGCACCTTGGTTTTGGAACGCTGTGGTTTTGGAACGGACTTCCGGAAAGGATTAAGTCTGAGAACCAAGATACCACTGTATATGCTTTTGGTTAAATTAATTAATTGAATCAAAATGTTCCTCTTCTGTTTGCTTCCCCTCCCCGCCCCCAATAACAACTACGAAATGGATATTAATTAAGGATTTTTTAATTGTATTTGAGGTTGCAATGGATATCCTCTCTGGTGCCTTTGCAGCTTTGTAGTTTGATAGCTGTATAGCCCTCTGCCCAAACAGGGACGGCTAAAATGGCCAAAAGCACTTTCTTTTTTTATGTAAATAGCCTGTCAAGGTCCATTAAGTGTCTGCTTTGTAATCTAAGCTAGGGTTGTGAGTTGCTACTGAATCTTACTAGTTGGAGATCCTTCTGGGAGGTGAGCAGGAAAAGGCATGCCATCAAGGTCTGAATGTGTCAAAGACAACAAAATAGACTGGCAGTCTTGAGATTAGAGATGGAAAGAGACAAAGGCCTGACTTTCTCTCTGTTGAGCATCAGAAGCTATGGCTTCAATGGTCTCTCTAATGGAGCTGCAGGATCTGTTTTGATGTATTAATGCTGTGAGCATTCCTTTTTATGCTTAGTCTGTATATATTGTTATGAATTGTGGATGCTAGGCACTCTTAAAGTCCTGGATCCAATGGGTGCTAGAATTTAATTAAGACACAGTGAGACCCTGTGTATTATTATTATTATTATTATTATTATTATTATTATTATTATTATTTTGTACCCCACCTGTTTGAATGAGATGCCCCAGCCACTCTGGGCGGCTTCCAACAGACTATAAATAACACAGCAAAACATCAAACAACAAAAACTTCCTAAAACAGGGCTGTCTTCTTATTTTAAAAAATGTATATATATATATTTATTAAGTTTTACATAACAAATTTAAATTCAAACACATCATTCACCTCCTCATTTAGGATTCTCTGAATCCCTTGACTTTGCCCTTCCATGGTTACCATTATCAATCTTCTTTTTAAAAAAATCTGCTTATCTTATTTTCTCTAATTTATTAAAAGAATAGTAACCCATTTTTTCATAGTTTTTTTGTACATTACAAGCATTACTCAAATCCTGCCAAAAATTTATTTGTTTACAGTGTTCTCTTAAGTACAGTATAATTTTCCCCCATTCCTTCGTAAAATTCTTCTGTTCCTGGTTTCTGATTTTCCCAATCAGTTTCGTCATAGTCCATCATCTTCATCAGCCATTCCTCTCTGGTTGGAACTTTGTCTTCTTTCCATCTCTGGTCAAAACAGGGCTGTCTTCAGATGTCTTCAGAAAGTTGTGTAGTTGTTTCTTTCCTTGACATCTGATGGGAGGGCATTCCATAGGGTGTGCGCCACTACTGAGAAGGCCCTCTGCCTGGTTCCCTGTAGCCTCACTTCTCACAATGAGGGAACCATCAGAAGGCACTTGGAACTGGATCTCAGTGTCCGAGCTGAACAATGGGGGTGGAGATGCTCCTTCAGGTATACAGAGCCAAAGCCATGTAGGGCTTTAAATGTCAACACCAACACTTTGAATTGTGCTCGGAAACATACTGAGAGACAATGTCAATGTTTTAGGACCAATGTTACGTGGTCCCAGCAGCTTCTCTCAGTCTCCAGTCTGGGAGCCACATTAACTGGGTGAATTGCAGTTTCTGAGTTACCTTCAAAGGTAGCCCCACATAGAATGTGTTGCAAATGGGAGTTAACTAGAGCATGTACCGCTTTGGTGAGTTACTGCACGGGAAAGTAGGGTCTCAGCTGGTGTACCAGATGAAGATGGTAGACAGCTGCCTTGGACACAGAATTGACCTGCACCACCATGGACAGCTGAGAGTCCAGAATGACTCCAAGGCTGCGCACCTGGTCCTTTAAGGGCAAAGTAACCCCATTCATCTGAAGGCAGCCCTGTTTAGGGAAGTTTTTAATGTTTGATGTTTTATCGTATTTTTAATATTTGGTGGAAGCTGCCCAGAATGGCTTGGGAAACCCAACCAGATGGGTGGGGTAAAAATGATAAATTTATTATTATTATTATTATTATTATTATTATTATTATTAACCAGGGAGTCTTCACATCTACTTGCACCTGTCCCTCAGAAACAGTACTTCTGTCCTGTTTGGATTCCACCACAATCTGTTTTTTATATATATATATATCTAAAATTCTTATTAAATTTTCTGTTTTACAATTTAGAATATTCATTTATACAACCTTAAAATATCAATAACTTCTTCTCTTTCCATGGTTCATTTTACATAGCATAAATCCCTGCATATTTTATATAAACTAAACCATTCAGTATTCCATTATTGCTTCCACTAAAACTTATTTACACTGTTGAATTTATCTTAATGCTGCCAAAGTTTTCAAGTGTACACTATTCCCCCCCCATATACTCAGTAAACATTTTCCAATCTTCTTTAAATGAATGTTCTTCTTTTTCTCTTATTCTATACGTTAGATCCGCAAGCTGCACATATTCCATCAGTTTGAGTTGCCATTCTTCTTTGGTTGGGACCTTGCTCGTTTTCCATTTGGGGGCTAATCAATCTGTTAACCAACATCCAATCTACAGTCACCTCCAGCCACTCACACGGACCATTCAGAGATGGAAGATTTTGCATAAGTGAACCTTACATTGCACAAACGAGTTAAGTCTCCAGCCTTCCGACAGCAGACAGTGCCCAAGAATGTAATGAAGCCTGCTGGCCCGTGGTTCATATAGTCCAGCATACTTCCCCCCCAGTAGCCAACCAGATGCCTATGAGAAGCTTGCCAGAGGTCTCTCCCCTCCTCCAGTTTTCCAGCAACTGGTCTTCAGAAATGGGCTGCCTTCCACTGTAGAGGTAGAACAAAGCCTTGTTGTTGTTTAGTTGTTTAGTTGTGTCCGACTCTTCGTGACCCCATGGACCAGAGCACGCCAGGCACTTCTGTCTTCCCCTGCCTCCCACAGTTTAGTCAAACTCATGCTGGTAGCTTCGAGAACACTATCCAACCATCTCGTCCTCTGTTGTCCCCTTCTCCTTGTGCCCTCCATCTTTCCCAACATCAGGGTCTTTTCCAGGGAGTCTTCTCTTCTCATGAGGTGGCCAAAGTATTGGAGTCTCAGCTTCAGGATCTGTCCTTCCAGTGAGCACTTAGGGCTGATTTCCTTCAGAATGGAGAGGTTTGATCTTCTTGCAGTCCATGGGACTCTCAAGAGTCTCCTCCAGCACCATAATTCAAAAGCATCAATTCTTTGGCGATCAGCCTTCTTTATGGTCCAGCTCTCACTTCCATACATCACTACTGGGACCAAAGCCTTATCCTTCATCAATGTATCTAATCCTCTTTCAAAGCCATCCAGTGTGTTAGCATGAGAGAGGGGCAAAGGCTACATCATCTTCTCATATGAAAATGCCCAAAGTGACATGTAGGTGTCACTTAACACTTCATAGAAGCACCCGGTTCCTCTTAAGGTACACAGTCTAGACTGAGGCAGCTTCTGCGGTTTCCTATTGCTTTCGCTCCCTCTCTTCTTTCAAAGACTGCTTGTAAAGATACAGCTGCCAAGATTTTCACACTCACCCCCCTCCCCTTTTTCTTTTTGGTATAACGTATTCCATTACTCCCTGTGCCAGCTCAGCAAATAGATTCATGGCTAGTAGAATTCGGATAGCTCTCCAGTTTATTGCTTTGCCACCTTTCTATTGAAGAAATGTTTCCTTACATATTATCACATTTTATCTCTCTCTCTCTAACATGGCAATTACCTGCTGCATTCAGGCTTCACTGCAGGAAACTTTTAGTGCCGTGTGTGCCCTATCTGGAGCCATTCATTCCATCTCATAAGCAACGGGGAGAGTTTAAGTTAAACTGCCCGCTTTACTGGCGAACAGCTCAAATCAAAGATGCACTGTTATTTACTCGCTCCTGCAGAGTCCTGTTTAGTTTCCATTCCAGACACTCTGAGTATAATGTTTCCTTCCCCTTCCCATTTCTCGGGTAGCATTCAATGCAGGATGGAGGTGCGGGGCAGTGGGAAGAAAGAAGGCTGTGTTGTTGTTTTTTTGCAGCACGTTTTCAGCAAGCTATCCTGTAGCGCAGGGGTCAGCAAACTTTTTCAGCAGGGGGCCAGCCCACTGTCCCTCAGACCTTGTGGGGGGCCGGACTATATTTGGGGGGGGGTGGGAATGAATGAATTCCTATGCCCCACAAATCACCCAGAGATGCATTTTAAATAAAAGGACACATTCTACTCATGTAAAAACATGCTGATTCCTGGACCGTCTGCGGGCCGGATTTAGAAGGGGACTGGGCTGGATCCGGCCCCCGGGCCTTAGTTTGCCTACCCATGCTGTAGCGTAAGGAACTATTTAATTCCACCCACTGAAAGACGGTCGGGGGGGGGAATGTAATGCATAATGGATATCTTTTCTTCATAAACTTTAAAACTATGAGCAATTTGGCAGGCTTCCTGAAATACTAGAAAGAGTTGAAAAGTGGGGGAGATGGATTACTGTGGCTGCTGGGGTATCTTGTCTTGTCAACTCA